AGTTAAAAGGACCAGGCAGTAGGTGACGTGAAAGGCATCTGCCTGAGTCCCTGGAGAGCTATTGTCCGTCAAAGTAGACGAGACTGACCTTGGTAGTAGAGTTGGCCAGGTCCGATTGTCGAGCTGGCGAGGGGATTCTAGGAGTGGACAGGGACACCACACAATGTGCCTGCATCACCTGGAAGTGACATAGGCACGCCAGTGATGTCAGGGGCGATGCTCTGGTTTTTGGGCAAAGCTCTACGGCAAAATCGGCCTCAAACCATAGAGTTTTGCCCCAAAACCCGAGTGTCTCACCCCCCAACTTTGCCAACGTGCTTATGTCACTTCCGGGTGACATCACTGTGTCACGTATTATGTTGCTATATGGGAGGCTGGGGGGAATTTCCTCCTGCTGGCCACCTGACCGCTGGTGGGCAGAAGCCTTGAAAACGGGATCCCTGCCCGGCCCCCACCTGAGGAAGGGTAATCCGACTTGATAGATCGGTGGTCTAACCCAGCAGGTTCCGGTGCTCATGGAATGCAGAATTGATTGGAGGAGCATAAAGTTACCAGCTCTGGGTTGGGAAATACCTGGAGATTTTGGGGATGGTGGCTGGAGAGGGCAGCGTTTGGGGAGAAGAGGGACCTCAGTGTGGTAGAATGTCATAGACCCCACCCTAGGGCTGCCAAGTGTGATTTTCGCCGCAGCAGGGGACTCCCGGCTGGTGGCTGGAGTGCGCGCGCTGCATCCACGTCACTCGGAAGTGACGAGACCACACCGGGCGCTCTGGGAGCGGGGCCACGACCATCCGAAGGAAAACCATAGAGTTTCCCCGCCCCCAGCGTGCCCGGCGTGGTTACGTCACTCCCGGGTGACGTGCACGTCGGGGTGGGGTTCCCCCCGGGGCCTGATCCGCCAGCCGCAGGAAATGGACCTCTGGGGCGGGGGGTTCCCCCCCCCGGGGGGACTTGGCAAGCCTACCCCACCCTCAAAAGCAGCCATTTCCTCCAGAGGAGCTGATCTCCGAAGTCTGGAGACGAGCTGCAAAAGCAGACGATCTTCAGGCCCTACCTAGAGGGTGGCAGCCCTATGGAAGCATTTCTAAGGGGCTATTTAAATCGTTGCCTTCTGCCGATCTGCTCCCCCTGCCCCCCACGTTTTCTCCTCAGTGGGATACACGGCATCTCTGGAAAGGCGAATGAGTGGAGAGTAAAAGACCTCTTCCTTCCCAGTGCCGCCATTCTGATCAAATGCAGACACTTCCCCCCCCCACACACACACACTACTTTTAAACCAAAATAATGACATTAGAACATAAGAGACGCCAATGTTGGATCAGGCCAAAGGCCCATCCAGTCCAACACTCTGTGTCACAGAGTGGCCAAAAATACCAGGTGCCAACAGGAGGTCCGCCAGTGGGGCCAGGACACTAGAAGCCCTCCTACTGTTGACCCCCCCAAGCACCAAGAACAGAGCATCACTTGCCCCAGACCGAGAGTTCCTATCTATACCGTGTGGCTAAGAGCCACTGATGGACCTCTGCTCCATATGCTTATCCCATTCCCTCTGCTCCATATAAGAACGTAAGAGACGCCAATGTTGGATCAGGCCAAAGGCCCATCTAGTCCAACACTCT